CTCTTCTCTTCTCTTCTCTTCTCTTCTCTTCTCTTCTCTTCTCTTCTACCCTACCCTACCCTACCCTACCCTATCTTACATCTATGTTCCACCTATTGCTCAGAAGTTCAAGATAGTTTACACATTCCTATATTTTATCCTCACAAAAATTGTGCAAGGTAGATTGAACTAGGATACATTGGCCTACAATCACAGTGAATTTTTGTAGTTAGCTTGAACCTGGAGCATCTCAGTTCTGGTTCAAAACACCTTTACCCTATATTATATCAACTGTACTAATTCTTGAGGAAGCACTTCCCAGAAAGCTGCAAGTTTAATTTTGTCTGGTCTGTAGATATCTCTTTTTCTTATTTAATTTGTATTTTTCCTGGAAAACAGGAACTCCAAGCTTCTACAATCAGGATGTCAGAAATGTAGCAAATACTACAAAATGGGATTGGGATACTGGGAAAGGAGGGTGTTTAAACAGAAAAGCAATGGGAAAATGCTAGAGAATCTTCTCCCTAATTTTATTCCCCCACTATGACAGGGTCCATTTGGGAAAATGCCAACAAATAATCCCGTGAAATAATTTTTTTTACTTCTGTAACATAAATCTGTAAGTATTTATCAATTATTAACACTAGCTGCATGAAGAAAGCAATGGAGAAGCAATGAAATTGGTTGACCTTACCTGTTCTCGGTCCAATCTCTTTTTAACTTTAATCAGTCCCAAGCCAGGATCAATTGAAAATTCATTGTTTTGATCTCCGCTGATAATGGAGAAAGAAATCTGCCCATTGGGAGAACTATCCACATCTTCGGCTATCAACTTTGGAAAAACGAGGAATTATAAATAAATGGGAGAATGATGACAGTGAATGGATAAATTCCACTGTATATGAAATCATCACAAATGTATATATGGTTAAATGCTATTATATGATACACTTAAAGCACATCAAATTGGCATTTATGATTTATCGACGGAACAGTTTAAAACAGGCAGGATATAACTATGTACTTTTCCTTTGCAATGTACCAGGAGAACTACTTTGACCAATCAGTGTCTCACCCAAATAAAGTTCCCTGATTAAATGCAGGCTAGACCAGAAATGTCTAAATGGGAAGGAAAAACTCCCGACTGGGGAGTTATTCTCAAGTTTGGGAAATTAATTCAACCATCGTCTTACAATATGAAAACGTGCTTCATACATCCATGCCTTGCTTTATCATGATTTATAATTGGCTTGATTATGTAACCCCAGCATGCTGTAGCAAACTAAACAAACTATATTATGTTTCAGCATAGTAATGAATTGGGTTGATGTAATCTGCATTTTAACAAAACTTTAAAAAAAATTATTGTTCCTGTAAACATTTTCTGAATACACATTTAATTTTAAATTTGCCAGTCAAGAAATTTCTCTCTCCCAACTCACCTACCTACCTAACCTTCCTTCCTTCTTTCTTTCTACCTACCTACCTACCGTCTATCTCCATCCATCCATCCATCCATCCATCCATCCATCCATCTTTATCTAGTTAGCCAGCCAGATAGTTAGCTAGCCAGATAGTTAGCTATCTTTCTAGCTCTGTATTAGGCTGTACTAGACCATAATGAAGCCCTAGATTTTGTTGAAGTCCTAGATCTTGTTGTGCCTTAGATTTCTGCTAACTGTGTTATCTGCATAATCCTTTCCTAGACTTACAGCATTTTGAAAGGTATCAATATCTATTATCACTTAGAAAGTGCATCTTGTATTCACTTATAACTACCCATTTATTCTGGTGATATGGGCAGAAAAACTCAGAACTCACCATTACTAATGAGTCACCAACTGATGCGTCTTCACTGATGACTGCACTATAGACATCTTGGCTAAATCTTGGTGGGTTATCATTCACGTCTGTCACATTTATATTCACTGTTGTGACAGCACTCAGAGCTGGGCTGCCCCCATCTTTAGCTTCAATGACCAGGAAGAAGTCCTTACACATTTCATAGTCCAAAGCTTCAATTACAGATATGGACCCTTGGAGACAGAAGACAAGAATAGGGACATCATATGCCTTCCTAAAGTCATAAACTTTTCTTTGAAAACAAATATAAGCAACCTCAGTGACTGTAGAAAAACACAAAGCAAGCAACAACAATCCAGATTATACAGTATAGTAAAGCCACTTCTGATATACTTTTCATGTTGGAAGGAGCAAAGCAGGTCAGAAGATAAGAAAAGATCTGTTATCAGTGCAAAAGTCACTGCATTCCTTTTATTAAAGCAGAGAAATATTTGAATTGGAAATTCAATTATCGCAGAAACATAATTCAATAACTTCCATATGGCATTTGATCCATATGTTTTCAATGTAAGATTAAACAAATAATTATGAAATTCTGTAGTGTTCTCAGAGTTTGGTTGTTTTCTTGCAGATGTTTCATTACCAAACTAGGTTAACATCATCAGTGTTAGTAGGATGTGGGGTTGGCTCTCGCTTTATAGACTAATGGTTTGTCCTGTCACTGTTGGTCAGAGTAGTCTTGATGTAGTCCCTCGGAGTAGTCTTGAGTAGTTCCTTGATAGACTGTTGTTTACTCTTAGATTGCTTGTCTGAATTGGTAATTCCTTAATTGGGGTATTGTTTGTTTCTGGACAGTTGATCTAAAGTTGGTCTTGGTGTTAGACTCTATTCATCGGGGTGCTGATTGGCTTGATTTCAGACTGTTGGCTGAAAGTCTTATTTCTTTCCAACCATTCGCCCTGGGAAACTTAGTTTATCTTTTTGTTTCCTTTTTGATTATCTCTTTGAATGCTATGTAGATGTTGTTTATCTCTGTGTGCCTATTGACGGCTGATCTGTCTGACTACCAAGCTTCCAAGAATTCTCATCATTTTTTTGACCTGGCTTGGACTAGGATGCTCACAGTTTCCCAGTTGAAATTATGGATAAGTCTGTCCATATGTTGTGAACACTCTCTCACCTGACATTTTTTTTTAAAAAAACAACACATTATTTTAATTGAAAATTAAAAACTGGAAGTTGACATACGGCAAAGTACAAGTCTCTAGCTTCAACTTTACTTCCAATATGTATACTTATGCTGGAAGTTAAAACCCACCCCTCTCCTAGAAAAATGAAATATTTTAGGATATATTAAAAAGGCAGAATATTTCCCCTAAAAGAGAAGTAGAAACTCAGCGAGGTAGAAACCAGGCCCCCATCTTTGTTAATGGGCCATTAAGGCCTGGGGCAGTCTATTCTACATAACAAAGATCTACCTCCTTCAGCAGAGCCATTCAATTGCCCTTCATTGCACCACCCACCAAGTTTCAACCAAACTTAGCACACAAACAACCTACAACCTCTGACAGCAACCAATCAGAATACTCTTCCTGTGCCCTGGGAAGTTCGAAGCCAGAGAGGGTATAAAACCCAGGGACTCTCAGCATCTCTTCCCTTTTTCTTCACCCAAGAGCTCCAAGGCGTGTGATCCTGTCCACCATTAAACCATCTTTCCAAACAGCCTCCATGTTTCCAGTGTCTTTTTCCCCACTTGGAACTGAACCAAGAAAGAGGGCATTTCTTCGAACACTTGGGAAATAAAAATGACTGCTTTCCAAAACTCTAATATGTTTTTAGGAGAGGGCTTTTTTTTAAAAAAAAAGACAAAAATAAGCTGAGCTGGCAGACAGTATCTTTGGGGAGCTAAGCGGTTTGGAATAGAATAGTTTGTGAACCAGCCACTCCTTTCGAAGCAGACATTTGGTGAGAGCATCACCTTCCAAATATGTTCCCAAAAGGGATAGATTAATTTAAAAAATCAGAAAGGCCTCCAAAGCCTATCTAGTTCACCCACCCACTATCTCCTATCTTCTTATCAACCACTGAAGGTTGGCCTTGATTTTAGACTGTTGACCAAAATTCTTATTTTTCTCCAACCCTTTTGCCCTGTGAAACTGAGGTGCATTTCTTTTCAACTTCAGGGGAAAATATACCGTACATTTGCCAGCATGGACAAGCATTGGCATAAAACATCCATCACTACTAGGTTGGGGGATAAGATTTTTTTTTAAATAACAATAATAAATTCATCAGATATTCTACATAATTACAGGATTGCTTTGAGTGTTTAGTGCTTACTACTGATTTGTTGAGAGGGAAGCTGTCATTCATTAACACATAATAAATACCTCATTGGTAATTAAATGTCACTATTTTTAATTGATTTACCGTCTTGCCTTCCTTTGAAATAGAGCTTTAACTATTGCTTTTGTTCCAATACCAAGGAGACCTAATTTGCTAACACCACTCCAGCTCTCTCAAATATTAAAACTTTAAAGTGCCCTTGAGTGGTATCTCTAAATCTCTATTGACTAAACAAAAAAAAGAGAGAGATTTTGGGATCTGGCGGAAAAGAAAGGGAGTAGGAAAACAAAACAAAGGAAGCAAACACAGACAAAAATACTGCACAGAAGCTTGAATGAGGATTAACTCGATGAACCTATTTCTCCTTTTCATTGATAGCAATGGAAAAATTTAGAAGAGACTTTTTTGTTGTTATTCTTCAGTTGACTTGATGTCCGTGAGAAAAAGCCTTTGCAAAAATAGAAATGATGCATGAATCTAAAGGGAACGAAAGACCTAAATTATAGGTAGTCCTCGACTTATGGCCACAGTTGGGCCCAAAATTTCTGTTGCAGTTTTTAAATGTCAGACCTCAATGACGAATGTTTTGCAGGAAGCAAAGTAGTTCAATTAGATTCCGAGTCCGTCCTTCCTTTGCAACTCTGGGAACTCTCGTCGGTTTTTTATGGTACTTCGGGTTGGTTTCTGTTATCATTAATATGGATACTTCTGGGTTTTTTTGGCAGCCTTCTACAGCAATGAAAGGTGTGCTCTTATCTCGAGGAACTGTTTATAATTAGTCTGGCTGGGAATGCAAGTAATTCCCAGCGTTGCATTGAAATAGGCTTTACTTTTAAAATCAGTTTGTGTTTCATTAAGTTTGACGAGGCTTGGGTCAGAAGAGTTTGCTTGTTTTCCAGCAAACGTTACATAATCCTAACTAGGTAACTAGTGATAGTGCTAGCACTGATGATGCTACCTAGTTAGGGTAACGAAATGTTTTCAAGAAAACAAGCAAGCTCAGAGAGCACCAAGGACCCCCTCATTTCAACCCCGAGCTACAAATTTATTGACAATGGAAGTTCTTCAGGATTTTTGTAACATTCTTCTGTTGCTCCTGGATTGAAGCATAAATTAGTAACAATGGAACCCAAGTTAAATATAAGCAACAAACAACAACACACCCTGTTATTTCTTACCCAACTATAAAATGAAAGGATTATTTTTAAACCTGCTGGATAAGCCTTCTCCTTATTTTGGTAAACCTACCTGTTTTAGAATCGATCTGGAATTTTCCTTTTTCGTTACCCGATCTGATGAGGTAGGTGATCTCCGCATTTGTACCAATGTCTTTGCTGGTCGCAAACACGAAAAGTATCTCGGTGTTTGGGGAGGTGTCCTCGGGCACCTCCACCAGGTAATCTCTCCTCTCAAAGATAGGGGGGTTATCATTAATGTCCAGGACGGTAATTGTAACGGTGGCAAACGAGGACAGAGTCTGCACAATGCCCTGGTCGGACGCTTTAATGGTGACGTTATAGGAAGACTGAAGTTCCCGGTCGAGAGGATGCTCCAAAATGATGATGCCCGAGGACATGTCCACAGAGAAGAAACCTTCTGAAGAATCAGCCAGGGAATACACAATCTTTCTGTTCACCCCTGAAAAAAGAGAAGAGGAAGAGAACAGCCGCTCTTCTTAATTATGTGAGGCAGAAAAGACCAAGATACCAACATAGCACAACCAGAGGTGGTATTCAGCAGGTTCTCACCGGTTCTGGAGAACCGGTAGCGGACATTTTGAGTAGTTTGGAGAACTGGCAAACACCACCTCTGACTGGCCCCACCTCCATCTATTCTCTGCCTCCCGAGTCCCAGCGGATCGGCTGGGCCTTCTTTTGTTGCCCTGCACAGGAGAACAGAACTGGAAAGCAGGTGTAGTGGGGTGGGGAGGGAGTGGGGATTTTGTAGTATCCTTCCCCTGCCCTGCCTACCAAGCCACACCACGCCCACCAAGCCATGCCCACAGAACTGGTAGTAAAAAATTTTGAATCCCACCACTGGGCCCAACACTTTAACCATGCATAGTTCAGTGTTATCAGCAGCCGAACCATGAGATACAGATAGTCCTCAACTTACGACCACAATTGAGCCCCAAATTTCTTTTGCCAAGGGAGACATTTGTTAAGTGAACTTTGCTTCCATTTTAACAACCTGTCTTGCCCCAGTTGTTTAGTGAATCGCTGCAGTTCTTAAGTTAGCAACACGCTTGTTAAGGGAATCTGCTTTCTCCCACTGACTTTGTCAGCAAGTGGCAAAAGGGGATTGCAAGACTCTGGGACACGTCATAAATAAGAGTCAGTCACCAGGCATCTGAATTTTGATCACGGGACAGTGGGGATGCTGTAATGCACGGCCCTAAGTCACTTTTTTCAGTGCTGTTGCAACTTCGGACAGTCACTGAATGAACTATTGTAAGTTGGGGATCCCTTTTCCTTCCTTTGTCAGCAGCATTCCAAGTACATCTAGCACATCTGGGAAAACTGAAATCTGAATTCCTGCATTTTCCCTTTCCCAATGTGACTTTCAATCACATTGCCTAATCAATCTCCTGTCTCAACTGCCACCAAATTCCAGTCACTCCCCCCCTCCAGGTGCCAGCAGCTTCCTTGACCACAGGCGAAAGAATGTTGTTGTGGCTATGCCCCCTTCACTGCTCTCCCGTTCCCACAGCTTGCCCATCCCCCACTGCGGCAGCCCGGAATCTGTCTCAAGATGGATCCAGGGCTGACATCCTTTTCCATTTGTCAACCCTGAAGTTGGCCTCACCGAGGCCATTTTTTCAGGCTTCAGTGTTGCCACACTGGAGCTGACGGATGAGGAGGAGGGAACAGAGATAGCTGGGGTTTTGTAACCAAAACAAAATAGTTTCTCCTGGGAACCAAGGACATTCCAACAGCTGGCTGGAGAGAGGAGGAGAAGGAGGAGGAGGAGGAGGAGGAGGAGGAGGAGGAGGAGGAGGAGGAGGAGGAGGAGGAAGAAGAAGAGAGAAGTAACCAGGCAACCAACTAGCCCCTAGATTGGACAATGTGACTTATTTTTAGGGAAAAGGAAAACGTTTACTTTTTAATTAGGTGAAAACGGCGGGAACTCTCCGAATCGGTTTTCAACAGTCTGTGCCAATACAATATCTCCAAATAAAACTGTTCTTTGAGGAATCTACCTGCCTCGGAGTTCTGTTTGCTGTGGGTGTATTACTTGGAACACTGACACCATCTCTTTCTAGCTCAACCCAACCACCATTAGCTGCTCTTTGGAATTGCCAGGGTTTCAAAGGCAGCTGTCCCTGGTAATTGTCCTGAAAAACAGTCTGCGATCATCTGATCCGGGTCCAATGTGTTGGGATTGCATCCAATTCTAACCCATAGCTGTGGGAACTGAAGTACCACAATGCCAGCGGACTGTCACGTTGGGAAAGGCTGGAGCAGAGCAGCAACAACTAGACTCAGTAGGCAAATGCCTCTTACGTGGGTGAGACCGGGAATTTTTATTTCTTCTTATTTTGGGGAAGGGAGAGGAGCTCAGTTTGTCTCTCTTCCAAAAAAGACAAGCATTATCACGACACTATTTTAAACCTCCTACAGCAGGGGTGTCAAACTCGCTTTCATTGAAGGCCACATCAGGGTTGTATTTGACCTCAGAGGTCTGGGGTGGGTATGGCCAGTTTGACATCCCTTGTGTCAGCCTGTGGTAGCCCAAGCGCTCCCAAGCTCTGTTTTCGGCTTTGATGGCCTCCTGCAACCCTCTGTCAACACAAATGGAACTTGGGAGGGCGGTGCACGGCCTTCGTGATCTCCATTTTTGGCTGGGATGGCATCCTGCAACCCTCTGCCAGCTAAAACAGAACTCGGGAGGGTCGCACGCATCCTTCCCGAGCTCCATTTTTGCTGGCAGAGGCAATGTGGCAGTGGTGCATTTCAAACATTTTTACCACCGGTTTGGTGGGCATGGCTTGGTGGGTGCACTTTGCAGCCCGCGCGCACACTTTGCATGTGTGCGCCAAACATGCACTTTGTGCAGGTGCAGTGGCTTTCCGACTCACCTCCTGCAATCCTGCGCTCCCCCCTGTCGCTTCGGCAGCTGCTGCATGGCAATCTGCTGTGCCGTGCAAAGCAGTTGCACTTCAAAAGCAGGGAATAAAGGTTAGCATGGGAGGCCGGGCGGGCAGGCCCAACAGCAGAGCGTTGGCGAGAATCGGTTTGGTCTCTGCTGCTCATCGGCGCTACCGGCTCAGCAGAACCGGGCTGAACCGGTAGAATACCACCACTGCACCGTGGGCCAGTCGTTTGCTGTTTCCTGGGTGGCAGTGTGGGCCAGACCTAAGCGTCCTGCAGACTAGGTCCTGCCCGTGGGCCTTGAGTTTGACACCCTTGTTCTACTGAATAATGGAGAGCACAGTGGCTTAGAGGTAAAATGCTGAGCTTATCAGCTGAAAGACAGGGTTAGAGACCCAAGCGCCGCATGACTGATGAGCTCCCATTATTTGCTCCAGCTCCTGCCCACCTAGCAATTTGAAAGCATGCAAATGCAAGTAGATTAATAGGTGCCACTTAGGTGGGAAGGTAACAGCAGTCCGTGCACCTTGGCATATAGTCATGCTTAATTACATAAGCATCTGCAGGTGATGCTGGGTCCCTTGGCTAAGAAATGGATATGAGCCCCTAGAGTTGGACACAACTGGATAGGGGAAAGCTTTACCTTTACAGAATGACAAGAAACCTTTCCACTAATTTTCAGGAAAAGTAACTTCAGAATATTTAAAAGGAGATAGATTCAGAGGTCATGTGTGAACTGCTGGGTTATTCATTCCCACCAGGGAAATATCTGCTGACTAAAAGAGCCAACTTGAACCAACTGCAGAATGACAGAGATCTGTATGCTAAAAGTGAAATCAGGACATCACTTTTTACGATGCTGCAAGGAATTGCTTTCAGCCTAATTGAACACAAATGCAAAAACTAAGTTCTGCACATTTCCATTTTCTTGTCGCCTTAACTGAACAACTTAGCAGGGAAACAAACAAAGAACACAACAGTTTTTCAAAGTCAGCATTCCCTTTCCTTTGAAGCCAACAGAAATAGGAAGACGTTTGTTTTTCGAGCCAGAATTATTTACCTGACATCAATCACTTACGAACACAAACTACACATCCTGCTTCTAGTTATACTTCATTGATTCAAGATTGGGTGACATTACTTTAGTGGTACTTGAAAGATAAAGCTTCCTTTAAGCTTCTGATGATTGCATGGCTGCCCATATATTTTAGCATCAGTACAGAAACGATTCCCCAATGCTTTCTACTGGGAATTATTTTTAACTTTCCATTTTACCTTGGAATTTCCTGGGAGTCTTTCACTCACACGCTAATCGAGAAGGGTTACCACATAAAACATGCAACAATGCAGGCAGCCATTAGATGGCAACGAAGAGAATCACTATTAGTTTTATACGTTTGCTGCCATCTAGTGGTCATACAGATTTTGCCGTGAAAACTCAGAAGATTAAACCTCTAAACCTAACCAACTTTACCAGCTCAGTCAAGATCAAATAGCTTCAGACATCAAACTGGGCAATTCTTTTTTTGTAATGACAGAAATGTTATTGTGTAAAACCAATTAACATGGATCGGAACGTAACATACATTTATTTTCCGCTCTACATGTCAAGAGCACAATTGCTTAGAAAGGCCTGGGGAAGGATGCCCTGTTGTCTAGGCATATTCATAAAATGCAATCATAAGAACAATATATGAACACTTGTTTAAATTATATTACCAAAGATTAGATGACACTCTCCAAGGAACAGGGATATTTAAAAAAAAAACCAACCATTTTTGATTTATCCAAAGGTGATGACATGAAACCTTGAAAAAGTCATTAGGAAGAAATGGTACTTCAATTATAATTTAGAATCTACATGCCGATACACACAGGATTTATCCCCTAACATTATACAGTTATTAAAGGTAAGTAGTATTTAAATTATGATTTTATTATATGCCTACTTGATTCATTGGCATTTTAAAGTCTTTGCAGATTCAAGCCATATCATGAATAGGTTGCTCATCCATCATTACTATTATTTATTCCTATTGCATGAATTACCCTGACCACAATGTCAGGTAAGTTATTGATGAATTACATAAAACAGAATAACAAATATCTACAATTATTATTTATAAGTGAGCATTTATAAAATTTTATTTATTCTTCTAGTTTTACTCTAAGGAGAAAATGCTATCTTTATTCTTTTACGAAAATGAATAAACAAACTAGCACTTTTGTTTTTCATTAATTGCAAATTTACATTTCTTGATTAAGAGCAGTGGAAGAAACCACAATTAAGAATCCTTACTGAAGTCAAAATTGATCCATAAGGATCCATATGAAATCAGCCTGTTTTAAATCCATCACCTTTATTTATAGTGTCCTAACACTTTAAATTCAGGTTAGGCCAGGACTAACCACATTCTCTCCCTAAATATGTGCACAGACACAGGAGATTCCAGTTAGAAGAGATCTAGCTGGTATCTAAATGGCTTCAGGAATCATGAATTCTCCAGTTACTGATAGATGCCCAACTAGCCTAACTGGCTAAATTCCTAATTTTATAATTTTAAAATTGATCAAATCCAGCGCTCTAAAACTGAGCCCAAAAGCCTACTGTCAAACAAAGAAGAGGAAGGTCAACTTTTTTTTCCAAACCAGCAGAAGGCAAGACAAGAAACAATGGATGGAAACTAATCAAAGAGATATATTGGATTGGTTGAAACAATTATATAAGTCTGAATGATTATCCTGAATATCTTGAACCAAGATGATTATGGGACTGGAGGCTAAAACCTACGACGAATGGTTGCAGGAACTGGGCATGGCTAGTCTAGTGAAGAGAAGGACCAGGGGAGACATGATAGCAGTCTTCCAGTATTTGAGGGGCTGCCACAGAGAGGAGGGTGGTCAACTTATTTTCCAAGGCACCCAAAGGCCAGACAAGGAATAATGGATAGAAGCTAATCAAGGAGAGATTCAACCTAGAAGTAAGGATAAATTTTCTGACAGTGAAAACAACCAATGGAACAGAAGTTGCCTTTGGAAGTTATGGGAGCTTCATCACTGGAGACTTTCAAGAAGAGACTAGACTGCCATCTGTCAGAGGTAGTATAGTAGAGTCTGTTTGGGCGGTGGGTTAGACTAGATGACCTACAAAGTCCCTTCCAACTCTGTTAATCTATATCTGAAGTCAAATGCATCAGTTTTGGACTTGTGTTAATAGTGAGCCTAAAAAAACCCCCCATGATTTCTTCAATTAAAACCGAACTATAAACTGTTCATGGTATTCTGGGCTTGATAGGCTTGGAAACATCCTCTGAGCAAGCACAGAACAAAATTGTGCAGAGAGTAACTGCCCCTCTGCCCTCAATCTGGTCCCCTCCTATGGTCTTCCCGTGAGAATATACTTTTAAAGCAGGTATCACTGTGCAAAGGGCATGTTCTCAAAAGATGACCACGCATGGAGAGAGGCTTGCGTGTCTCCAGTACAGAAGGATTTAGAGCTGTATTAACAGACTGCTGAATCAAGAGATCTTTCTTTTTATATTCACATATCAATACTGTCATGTTTTATTACTGGCATCCTGTGTTTGCATTTGACCTTAATAGCTAACTACAAGTCAAAAGTTGGGAAATGAAATCTGCGCTATTCATCATTAACTATAAAATCTGCTGGCTCTTTTGTTTCTCTTTCTCCTTGCTCTGCTCTCTTATTTCTAACATTAAGTAGCGACAAAAAGGAAGAATGGCAAATTTATGCAGCTTCCGTCTGCCTTCAGATTTTGATCTGCATTTTAAGATTCAAATGCATTATGCAGATTCCAACATTTTTTTAAAAAATAAATTTTATGGATTTTACAATTAAAACAAACAACAACACATCCATAAATGAAAGAGAGAAAAAGAAGAAAGGGAGAAGAAAATAGATAGAAAACAAATAGAAAATAATTAAAAACATTCTCATCTTCAACAGTTTGTAAGACCCCTTTTTTATCCTTATTTTATGCCACATACACACACCTAATCCTTACATATATCTGTGTATCACTACTATGGATCTATCCTATCCTCTTTTGCCTTTTAGTGTGAAGTCTATCTTTGGTCTATCCATTTGTACCAGCAGTTCCAGCTGTTGTAGCATATTGAAGTGTCTTTATTTTTTAATGCCAAAGTTAATTTGTCCATTTCTGCACAACTTTAAATTTTTTGAATGATCATCTCCTCTGATGGAACATGAGGCTGCTTCCAACATTGTGCAAAAGCCAATCTGGCCGCTGTCAAAATGTGTTCCAACATTTTTAGCAGCACTTTCTTCCTAGTATGAGCCGTTAAAGAGGTTCTAGAATTCCCACATTTTGTTTTCAAACATCCAAAGACAGATAAGATTCCAAGGTTGAATCCTATTTTTATTTAGGAAAGTTTATGAATTCTGTGGCAAATTTAATGGCAATGAACTTGGGACATCCGGCAACAACTAGACTTTGCAATGGGATGAACTTCTGCATTAATTCAATTCTGCCTAGAGTTTGTCTTTTGGTAACAAAAATCCTCTAGAGACAGGTGAACTGCATTTACCTTACAAAGTTTATAAGATGACCAAACTGCAATCGACTGATATGTCATCTGAGAGGGTACCAAAATCACAGCCAGAGCACACTAATAAAAACTTCCCCTGATGCTGCCCTGCAACTTGTACAATCGTATTGTTAAGGAAATCAGGAGATTTAGGCAATTCCAATGACTATAAAGATTTATTGCAAGGTTAAGCGCTCTACAAGAATCTGACCAACTAACGGTCAAGGGAAACGAGCGGGAGATAAGAAAGGCATTCAAGGTGGGCTTGACCTAGATCTCGTGTCGCACGGACCCATGACTTATGACACGTTTGTCCCCTCCGTCATGGCCAGCCTGGTCATCTCTTACCCATATAAGGATGCCAGAAAACATTGGCAAAAATGTATCTCTTACAACATTTCTATGCCTGGTAAGTTTTGAGTGCAATCCATCTATGAGCTAATTTAATCCCATGGACTTTCTTCTATTTTGACCCCCCCCCCCCCCCATTCAGTTGTATCTAATTCTTAGAGGCCGCTTGGATGAGTCCTTGCAGCTTATTAGGCAAGATTTTTCAGAGTGATTTGCCATTGGCTGCTTCCTAGGGCTGAGGGAAAGAGACTGGCCCACCATCACCCAACTGGCTTTGTGCCTAAAGTGAGATTGTAACTCACATTCTTCCAGTTTCTAGTCTGATGCTTCAACCACAAAACCAAATGAAACCTCATTTAAAAAAAAAATAATTTATTTATATCTCACCATTATTATTTCTATAAATAACTCAAGGTTTGAACATACACAACATTCCTTCTTCCTATTTTCCTCATAATAATAAACCTGTGAGATGGGTAAGACAGAGAGATAATGACTGGCCCTAAACCATTCAACTTGCTTTCATGCTGAAGTAGGATTAGAATGTCTCCTGGTCATTTGCGCAAAATCACCCGCCAGCTTTCATGCTTAAAGCAGAACTAGAACTCACCGTCACCTGGTGATTGGCCCAAAATCATCAAGCTGGTTTTCACATGCTCAAGGTGGCACTAGAACTCACAGACTTCTGGTTTCTAGCCTGGTGACTTCACCACTACACCTAACTGGGCTAAGACGCTATTTAACCGACAAACGTGAGTTTTGGATTTGGGGACCAAATCCAGATGTGAGAACTTTAATTTCTTGTGCTACTTATGAATTTAATAATTGTTGTTAAAAGATAATGCATAGATTACAAAGAAAAATAAAGGCTACCCCTTCCCTTACCAAGTTCTACTTACACGCTTCTACTCAAGTGTTCCTTTTAGCATCCTATACTCACCTACGTCAGGGTCGTTGGCTTGCACTCGTGTTAGCAAGGCTTTGGTGGCAGTGTTCTCATAGACACAGGCAGTGTAGTGGTCAGAAGAAAACAGTGGAGGATTATCATTGACATCTTCCAATATTAGATGGAGTTTTGATTGACAGAACTTCCCACCCCCATCAGTTGCCCGGGCGATGAGATTGTAGACAGGGGTCTTTTCACGGTCTAACGGAGCTAATGTTTTGAGCTCCCCTAAAACAAATTCAAGGGCAGGTGGGGAAAAAAAGGAAAACAGGGAAAAATAAGTGGATTGTCATGACAACATCATTGTTTTATTACCAACACTATTATTTCTTTTTACAAAGTAATGTGTAAACATGATAAGACGCAGTGTACAATTGGAAGTCATGATCCTTTGAGAGCTTTATGCAATGAAATTTTATTTTTTAAAATATGCTGGTTAGCGTACATTCAAAATGACAATAAAACTATTCTATTCTATTCTGTTCTGTTCTATTCCGATTTTATTCCTATTCTATTCTATTCTTATTCCTATTCTATTATCGTATCCTATCCCTATTCCATTCCATCCTATTTCTACTCCTATTCTATTCCTATCCTATCCTATCCTATCCTATCCTATCCTATCCTATCCTATCCCTGTTCTATTCCTATTCTATTTCTATTCTTATTCCTATTCCATTAATTTATCTTAAAATTATAATCCAATCTTATCTTAAAATGGCTTGGGTCCTCAGCCACTGTGTTGTGTGAACAGGACAGCTTGTTAAGCCAGTGTTTCTCATCTAGGGCAACTTGAAGAGGTGTGGATTCTTATAACCTCTCTGCTCGTCATTAACCAGGGACCAAAAAATAATTCTGCCTAATATTTTATGAGAGAGAATCTGGGAATTTGACTCTTTCTCATGAAAGAGCAGTGGACATACACCAGGGAAGTCTGACCTGCATTCAATACCTAGTCCACTCTCCGGGGGTGTCAAACTCAAGGCCGGGGGCCCAGATTTGGCTTGCAGGGTACTTAGATCTGGCCCACGGGGCTGCCCTGGGAACAGTGAAGGACTGGCCCACGATACTTCTGCCAGCAAAAACGGGCTCCCGAGCTCCGTTTTCAGCTATCACAGACTCCGGCAACTCTCTGCCAGGGAAAATGGAGCTGAATTTTCAGTGGCAGAGGGTTGCAGGAGGTCGTGGCAGCTGAAAACGGAGCTCGGGAGCCAAGAGCACTCGGCCTCCCCCCCAGGCGCCCTTGACACAAGTGAGCTGGCCACACCCTCCATCTTCCCCGAGGTCAAACACAACCCTGATGCGGCCCTCAATGAAATCGAGTCTGACACCCTTGATTTATGACATTATGATTTTTAAGGTCTTACTTTTTAAAAAAAAAATCAACAAGGTAAAATGTTCACAGATGCTTGATGTCCTTCAGCAAAATGATGTCTCCCTTACACCCCTCCCTGGATCTCTGAATGCCAAATTACATGGAGCAACCTTTCCTGATCAGCACATTTCTATCACTGACATAAACCAATTGCTGTTGCTAAATTATTATAACCCCTTCCTTTTCACTGCAACCTCTCCCCCTATCTCCTCCCAATTAAAAAAAAACGCACAGCATTGATAAGCAGCTTGGAATGGAGGAAAGTGTACTGCAAGAGCGGGGCTGAAGTATCAGGAGGCGGAATAGTGGTAGCTGAAGAGATGATTGTATAGTGGAAGATTAGACACTCAAGAGAACAGTTGGCCACTTCATCACTAAGTAAGTGCCAAGGCACTATGCTCCTGTGAGAAAAATGCTCTCTTCCTCTCAAGGCAACGTTGCAAGCTATATTTCTTCCATTAAACTGAAATTTTTAATGCACGGCTCTGATGTTTAGGCATACAGAGCTCTAAGACTGGAAGCAACACACGGGCTTCACTCAGGCAGAAGAATAATAGGAGATAACGGTTAGCCATGTATTTGGCCACTCACACCAGCAAACAGGTGAGTAACAATGGCCGCTGGCTCATTTCTGGTTTAAGATCCTTAAAACAGATAAAGAAGCTTCATATAGGAAACAGAAGGGGAAGGTTCATCTTAAGAAGCATCTGAGAGCTTTTGCACCGGAGACAAATTCTTTTGTGTGTCCAATCATATTTGGCCAAATGAAGCGAAGCGTTCTGATCCCTCCCCTGCCCTCCATTCCATTCCTAAATAGTTTGAGGGCTGTCACACTATTTTCCATAGCTCAAAGGCAAGACAAGAAGCAAGGAGTGTAACCTAAACAAGGAGAGAAGCAACCTAGAACTAAGGAGAAATTTCCTAACAGTGGCAAACAATCAACCAGTGGGAACAGCTTGTCTTCAGATGTTATGGGGGCTCCATCACTGGAGGCTTTCAAGAAGAGATTGGACAGCCATTTGTCTGAAATGGTATAGGGTCTGCTGCTTGAGCAAGGGGTTGGACTGGATGGCCTCCAAGTTCCCTTCCGTTATTTTCTGTTCTGTTCTGTTGGACAAATGCTGGTTTCCTCTGTAAGATCTATTTTTAGAACGACCAGGCAACTTCTAAATAATTAAAACGTTGGAAGCAGCCAGCATATTTTGGCAGGAATGTGAAGGAGGTACCTAGAGGCTGAGGGAGAGAAATCGGCAGTAGCTGTAATTTTAACATTAATCAAACAGAGAAATCATCCGTGTAAAAATTCATCATCGTCTTACCACTTTCAGGGTCCAAAAGAAACTTGCCGTTTCCTGAGCCATATAAAGAATAGTGAATTTCACCGTTGGAGCCAATGTCTACATCTCGCGCACCCATTTTAAGGATAATTTTGTTGGGAGGGATGTCCTCAGGGAATATTGCCATGTATGTAACCTTAAGACAAAAAAGAAGAAAGAAAAAAAGAAGAGTGATTCCAACTTAGACTGACAAATGATGGTCAATTTAGAAATCCCAACATTCTCGTTGGTTTGGAAGTACTGCTCAGCACTGGCGCTCCATTCATTATCCATTTTTAGATCATACTGCCCCATCTCCAGATAGTTCTCATTAGAAACGTGATACATAATATGATAAAAAATTCTTCTCTTAGACTAAAAAGTCTATCATCTGCAGCTCTATAACTGCCTGGTTTGCTTCTGAAACCCAACAGGACAGACACAGACTTCAGAGAGTAATTAGGACTGCAGAAAAAACAATTGCTACCAACCTGCCTTCAATTGAGGACCTGAATACAGCACGAGTCAAAAAGAGGGCTGTGAAAATATTTACAGACCCCTCACATCCTGGACCTAAACTGTTTCAACTCCTTCCCTCAAAACGGCGCTATAGAGCACCGCACATCAGAACAACTAGACACAAGGACAGTTTTTCCCTGAACGCCATCACTAAACAAATAATTCCCTCAACACTGTCCAACTATTTACAAAGTCTGCATTACTATCACTACTAACCTTCTCATCATTCCTTATCACCCCTCCCCTCCCACTTGTGACTGTATGACTCTAACTTTGTCGCTTGTATCCTTACGATTTATATTGACTGTTTCTTAATAAGATTTGATTGCTTTTTGTACCCTATGACTATTATTAAGTGTTGGCCAATAAAGAATTCTATTCTATTCTATTCTATTCTATTCTATTCTATTCTATTCTATTCTATTCTATTCTATTCTATTCTATTCTATTC